TACACAAAATTGTTTTGTACAAAATGAGTGAAAAATATGCTTTCTGTTTTCAGCGGAACTTTCAGGTTTGCTCTTTATAGGAGATGCAATTCTACAGGTGAGTAAAATTGCAAGTTCTTTTGTTTCTATTTTTCTAGAAAAGTGAAATGAAATCTATACTTATGAAATGTAGAGTAAGTCTTCTCTTTATCTTTTTAATAACAGATTAATGGAATTAATGTGAGAAAATGCAGGCATGAAGAAGTGGTGAGCTTTTCTGTTTTTTAGTCTACTTTTTCTCTTTCGTAGTTATTGAGATGATAGTGTATGCTGATAGCAGTGAGCTGGTATCAGTTGTATTATTGTTATTCCTAAGCAAACGTGACTGTACATTCTAGCATGGCAAGCGACTAAGATCTCAGTGCGATCTCTTCATAAATTTGTTGTAATTGCTGTTCTCAGATAGGCTTTTCTATATTAAAGATTATTATTTTATCATGCAGATTTTAGTTGTATGTATTTCAACATTTCTTCTTCTGGCTTATAGCTATCAAATTTCAGCAGTGCTACACCCTTCTGGCTGTGTGAGGTCATTTTAATTTCAAAAGCTGTAATTTGCACGATGTTGGAGATTTGTTGTTGGGATGGTTTTAAGTCTATGTAAAAACTGAATCAAAACCATTTGTCTGCCTTTCGTTCTCTGGCTGTTACCTATGAGGGTGCTATCCTCTTGCAGTTAGGCTCTTGTCAGTAGGGTTTAAGACAATAGTGCATTAAGGAGATTCCTTCTAGAGAAGCCGTGTGTGTTTGAGAGCTCTGTAGTAGGCTGGTTCCCTTGGTAGGTCAGCTTTGCTGAAAGTATCATGTACTTTTGTTGTATTTGACTTTTTGACTCTTCTTAAGTACCTTCAGAAGTGGGAAACCCTGTATTTCAGAAAAGAATGCTAAAAATGAGAAGACTGCCAGAGAAATTATCTTTAAATCCTGTGTAGCCCCATAGAATTGATGCCTGTGTTTTTAAAATAACATAGTAATGTTGTATGTGAAAGTTTACTTTTCTAAAACTTACTTGGCCAATTCGAAGGCGCTCTGCATTTCGTACAGCATTCTGTTACCTGATAGATCATTGAGCATATGCCATTCAGGTACAGGAAGCAAGAGTTAATAAAGATGAAGTTCTAATGAACAACTTAGTGCAGGCTGAAAGATGAGATCACTGCACTGCTCCTCGGAGTGCTGTTGTGCACTGGTTTCATTGGAAATTTGTGCTGCAAATCGTGCTTCATTCTTCAGAGTCTTTGTCATGCCGCCTTCCGTATCCGCAGGCTAACTGTCGTATTTATAGTACTTTTAAGCTGTGGCTGTGCAACAGTGATCAGAGTGTAACGTTTTATAAGCTCACTGCAGTTGTTCGCTTTAATGTGCATTAATATGGTAAATAGGCTGTTGGAATTTCAAGGCATGAGAGAAAGATACTACTAAAAGTGTAGACTTGCGCACTCAAAGGCATATAGAAAACTGGTAAGTACACCAGGATTATTATTTTTTTCTCTTTTCTGAGACAATCTCGTAACCATTACAATTATACATAAAATCTGTTGGCTATTTATGACCAGTTTGAAACACTTTCACAGGAGAAGAGACTTTGGAAAAGCCAATAGGTGCAGACTGACATACAGTAGCAAGTGTCATAATGTTAGATTTTGGTTTATACCTTGTTTGTCCATCATAACCTGCTTCTCAAACTCCTTATAGATAATTCTCTCAAAAATAAACCAACGCAACAGTGTATCTTACCGGTTTGGAATGTGCATTTGTGTATGTAAAAGTGTTTCAGGAGTTTAAGAAGCAGATACATTTTAAATTAAATCTTTATTCTAACTATGAATAATTTTTGAGAATAAAGAGTAAATATTGAGCAATATTTAAATAAGATAAAATGTCCATATGAGATTTTATAAACTTAAGATATGCAGAGGAGTTATAAACATAAAATATAAAATAAATACAAAAAACCAATGTAAATGAACTCATAAACTTAAGATATGCAGAGGAGTTATAAACGTAAAATATAAAATAAATACAAAAAAAACAATATAAATGAACTGTGATAATTATTTTTTTCAGAAGCATTTACCATCGTATGTTGTATATTTGTGGAGTAAATTTGCTGTAAAGCCTGCTATAGTAATGATAGAGGTGGTTATGCATTGTGTAGTCATCTGTGGGTTTAGGCATAGCCCTGAGTACAGGGCAGGTGCATCACCTGGTCTGCCCGCAGGAGTTATAGGTGGGATTTAGTCTGCAGCATGATTTTTGCAGTTGGAGTTGTTCTAGCACTTTTCTCTTGCAGGGTCTTCATCAAATTGTAGCTCTAATCTCAAGGCAGCAGAGAAAATAGGAAGTGTGTGGAACATAGTTGCTCACAGCAGGGAGTCGAACAGTAGTGGAAGCTTAATTTGAAATCCTTATTGTGTCTAGGTACCTTTCAAATGGCGGTGCAAGGTACATGAGCTCGGAGCTTTGTTTCTTTCTGATTTTTTTTCTGTAGCTAATTAAGACTTAGCAGGTATCATATTATGCGAGAGTATGTTACTATTTTGGGTTGTCTTAATGTCTTAGAAAATATTCGTTGTAAACCAGCCTTTCAGTGTGTAAAGCTGAAGAGGCCTGTAGAAAATTCAGACTTGTATCTACAGTGTGCATCCTATGGGCGTTCGTTCTTTTTCTAGATCCAGAGCTTCTTGCTGCTTACAGAAACATTTTAAGCATATGTCTTATCTTCATAGCTCTGCAGTGAAAAGACCTGTGGCGTGATCACTGCAGCCTCTTGTATTACACTGGTGATTAGCTGGTCCTGGTATTTCACCCTGCTTTACTGATAACTGTGCTATGCCTATAAAATTATCTGAATTTCAAATTTAAGTAGTTTAATCAAGTTAGTACCATCTTTTATAGTAGAGAGAATCTTTCCCCAATATATAGTGAACTTAAGTTGGCTTAACACGTATAGGCATTCCTTTGTTGTCTTTACTGTCTTCCATTAGTTATTAGATCTGATGATATCACAGTATTCAGTGATGCACAGATCCTGTTACCTGAGAGATGTACTATAATCTGAAGCCTGAATCTGACAAATAGGTAGGTATGTAGGTAGGCAGGTAGACGATAGATAAATAGATAAGACTCTTAGAAGACTGGATAGGTAGGTTTAGTAAGTTCTCAGAGCACCTTGCTGGAGGCTGCTACACAATTCCTTTCTGATTTTTTTTTTCTTTTTTTCAGTTCTAGGTGAATGACTTAATTTTGAGCTTAGTTTTCTGCTTGTAGAAGGTGAGAATATTATTCATATCATGCAAGGACATTAGGAGTTTCTATCAAAGGCTGAATGTCAGCTTGTTGTTTGTCTTGGGTTGTAATGACTCCCGTCAGAGCATAGCATAACATTGCTTCAGTCTTAGTGCTCTCCTATGGTAAACTAAATACATGCTCTCTGTGGTGAAGTGTCAGCATAGGAGGATGCTGAGGAAGAAAAAATAATCTAGCAATTCTCTTGAAAGAATCTCTCAACATCATACCGGGAATTTGACTTCAAAAATGCAATATGATCTTGAATGTAGGGGTAAAGGGAGTCCATTACATCTGTTAATTTCCATGAGTTTGTGCTCTTTCTGGTCTGGGTTTATTAATTATTCCTTTTCCAGTAGACTGGCCTTTGTATTTTACAGCAAGATGTTTTAAAGGCTGAAATTAGGATTACACATAGACAGACCTGTGAGTTTAGGCTTCTGTCTAATTAATATGGTCCAGAAATGCATAACTTGTCAGTCCACATGCCTCGTCTTTTAAGGGCTCACAATGGATGTGATTATTCTTAAGGCTGGAAACGAACGTATTTCTAGTCTGGAAATTAATGTATCTGTAGTCCTTACCTCCATTGATTATCCAAACATAAAACAAAGATAGGTAGACAATCACCAACATAATGCTGTTCTTGTAGGACATTGGACATTTTTAGTGGTTCTGGGTCTAGCCACTACACCACTAACAGTGGACAAAATTTTGGGAGGGAGTGAGCTACTTCCCTTGAGCTACTACTGAGTGGCTCGGAGTGGGAGAGTACAAGTCAACTCAGATGCATACTACCAAAAATCTTGTGTCAGATCTACTGCTCTTACTGTTTCCAGGGTTATAGTGTGCCAAAGCATCTGGGGCCCATGGAGAAGGAAGAATGTCAGTCAAATGAACGTTGCTGATATGTTTAAGATTATGTCTCTGTTCTTAACATTGTGAATAAAGCATCTCAGGTACTACCAACAGCTGTGGTTACATATCACTGGGGTTTCTTTGGATCTTAGCACCTGTTTTTCTCTTTGGAAACAAAACCAGAATTAAATTAATATGGATATAAAATAATTTCTTATTTCTTGTACTTGGAGAAAATTTGGGGAATGTTACTAATGAGAAATGGTAGTTCGTATGTGCCAGTTAACGTGGCATTTGTGCATTCCTTGAAAAGCAACAGGAAAAGCTCCTGTGGAGGTGTGAGTAGGTCTCAAGACAGCATAGATACTTAGACTTTGGTGTATTTTCTGTAGAGCTAGCTACTCTACGTAGCACTGTGTTTCAGTTCAGCCATCAGCTGCGTTTTGCACAAGTCGCGTTTTGCACGACACCTTTTCCAACAGAATGATGTGGGATGTCATTGCACAAGACACCTTTTCCCCCTGACGTGGGATGTCCACGTGCACTCTGTTGTATCCTTTGCTTCCCCTTTCCTCTGCATTCCTAGCAGGGCTGTGATTATGCTGCTTTCCATGAGCCATATGTGTTGTATGAAGTTGGCAGTTGGGAATTGTAGCTGCTTGACTGCAATCGTGTGCAGCTGATGGAACGTACTCTGATTCTTTGTTTTAAAACTGTGATTTCATTCAAACTGATTTTGAAAATCCATTATGAATAGTTTTGGTAATGTTTTTTGTAAATGTTTTTAAGCAGAAGAATGAGCATATTGTATTTGTAAGACAGGACTGGAAACCAAATGATCTGAAATCTCACTCCATCTTGACTTTGCAAATGTGTCTTTTGGTAAATTATGTTTTTATGTTATCTTTGTTTCCTTAAGTGTGAAACAGAGCCTAGAGTATTATCAGGTTTAACTCACTGCATTGTATGAAGTACTTCAGAAACTGTTATGGAAAAGGATCTCTACATTAATATTGTTCTGTTTGGTGACAGCGATAACCGCGGCCTGCAAATGCAGGTTA